TTTCTTATTATTTTAGTCTTTTTTATGACAGTTAGGAATAATGGATAAGTAAATATGAAAGAATTCCTAGGATAATGAAATGGCAAATATTTAAAGATACAGGAGGAAAAAACTATTAAATCTTGTAGGAGACCATGCACCAAGCTTGTGGAAGCGGTCACCAGCTCTTGAGGGAGGCTCTGGGAGTGGGACAATCTCCTAGCCAGTATGGAGATGTTTAGCTGCCCAGAGGCAAGCTCTCAAGCAGCTGCATGCGTTTTTTTTCCTAGGGACAGAGTCTCACTCTGTCACCCTCAGTAGAGTGCTATGGTATCACAGCTCACAGCAACCTCCAGCTCTTGGGCTTAGGCAATTCTCTTGCTGCAGCCTCCCAAGTAGCTGGGACTGCAGGTGCCCACCACAGTGCTCAGCTATTTTTTTTTGTTGCAGTTTGGCCAGGGCCGGGTTCAAACCCACCACCCTCAGTATATGGGGCCAGCACCCTACTCACAGAGCTGCAGGTGCCGCCCAGTGAGTCCTTTCTTAAAAGGAGATCTGAGCACATCTCTGTGTCTGTCATAGCTTCCGCTTGATTATTCATCCATTTATCCCCCCAAAAATGTACGTTGAGTACCTAATATATGCAAGTTACTTTTCTTGATGCTAGAGACTTAGCAGTAAACCAGCCAAAAGCAAAAAGGAAATCCCTTAGAGCTTTCATGCTAGTAGATGTGGGGCAGGCAGTGGACAAGATAGAGAAATGAAAACATATAGCATGTTAGATAGTGATAAAAGCCAGAGAGAAAAAGAGAAGTATGAAAGGGGGCTATAAAATAAGGGGGAGATGTGAACTATCAGAAGGCTGCCCTTACTGCTCCAAAATCAACTTGAGACCTGAAGGAAGTAAGGGAGCCAGACCATGCAGGTAACTGAGGGAAGAGCTTTCCAGGCAAATCAAACACAAAGACCCCGAAGCCAAGAGTATTTGAGGAACTAGTGTTGAGTGAGTGAGGGGAAGAGAGGGAGCAGATGATATCAACGGTCATGGGAGACCAGGCAATGCAGAATCCTGCATAATGAGGACTTGGGCTTTTACTCTGAATGAGATGGAAGCCTCTAGAAAGTTTTAAGCGCACTTGCACATCTTTTATGAGTGCTGACTTGGGAAAATGCTCAGGATATTTTTTTTTTTATTAAATTGTAACTGTATACATTGATGCATTTATGGAGTTTGGTGTACTGATTTGATATACAATCTGAAATGCTTATATTGAACTAATCAACACATCCATCACCTCACTTACTTATTTGTTATGGTAAAGCAATTGTACTCTTTTCCTAACAGTTTTGAAATGTACTGTTGCAATATGCACATTAGGTGAGGTCCCCCCAAATACCCTCCCTCCTCCCCTCTTCTCTCCCTCCTCCCCTCTTCCCTTCTACTTTCTGGACTATAGTTAGGTTTTACCATTTGTATGAATGTGTAGGTGATTATATATTGATTTCATAGTAGTATTGAATACACTGGATACTTTTTTTTCCATTCTTGAGATACTTTACTAAGAATATGTTCCAGCTCCATCCAGGTAAACATAAAAGATGCGAGGTCTCCATCTTTTTTATGGCTAGGTTTCCATGATGTACATATACCACAATTTGTTAATCTATTCATGAGTCAATGGGCACTCCGACTATTTCCATGTCTTGGCAATTATGAATTGGGCTGCAGTAAACATTCTGGTGCAAATTGCTTTGTTGTAAAATGATTTTTGATCATCTAAGTATATACCTAGTAGAGGAATTGCAGGATCAAGCAGTAGGTCTACTTTTAGTTCCTTAAGTATTCTCTAAACTTCTTTCCAAAAGGTCGTATTAGCTTGCATTCCCACCAGCAGTGTAGAAATGCTCCCTTCTCTCCACATCCACACCAACATCTGTAGTTTTGGGATTTTGTGATGTGGGCTACTCTTACTGGAGTTAGATTATATCTCAAAGTGGTTTTGATTTGCATTTCTCTGATGATTAAAGATGATGACCATTTTTTCATGTGTTTGTAGACCTTGCACCTGTCTACTTCAGAGAAGTTTCTGTTCAAGTCTCTTGCCCACATAGAAGTGGGGTTATTTGTTCTTTTCTTATTGATAAGTTTGAGTTCTCTGTGGATTCTAGTTATCAGACCTTTGTCGCAAACATAACCTGCAAAAATCTTCTCCCATTCTAAAGGTTGTCTGTTTGGTTTACTTACTGTGCTCTTGGCTGCGCCCCCTGCTGGTCCCTCATCACTTCTAAAAGCAGAAGCTTTTTAGTTCCATCAGATCCTAGTAATATATTTTTGGTATTGCTTCAATTGCCCAGGGGTCCTCCTCATAAAATATTCTACCAGGTCAATTTCTTCAAGTGTTTTCCCTGCACTCTCTTCTAGTATTTTTATAGTATCATGTGTTAAATTTAAATCTTTTATCCAGTGAGAATCAATTCTTGTTGATGGTGAAAGGTGGGGGTCTAGTTCCAGTCTTCTACAGGTCACCAGGCAGGTTCACCCAGTACTATTTGTTAAACATGGAGTCTTTCCCCCTCTGAATGTTTTTGATAGGCTTATCAAAGATCAAATGAGGATAAGTAGCTGGGTTCATCTCTTGGTTCTCTATTCTGTTCCATAAATCTACCTCTCTGTTTTTGTGAGGATATTTTAATAATGGAAGACAAATGTAAAATGTTGTACAATATGATCTCATGCTGTAAAATATTAAAAACATATATGCATGTGTACACAAAGCACAGAGTTACTTCATAACAAAATATAGGTGGGGTTTTTCTCTGGATGATAGTGTATAGGTGATTATTTTCTTTTGGATTTTCTGCATTTTCTAAATTCTTATGGATGAACTCCATGACTTTTGAAAGGAGATTATAATATCACTTTTAAAAACACCTCACCATCTCATAAGACCATTCTCTACTCTGCCCTTCAAGTATGAAACTTAGTAGTTCTACAAGCTCCTCAACTTTTCTCATTCTCTCGCTTTCTCTCCAAAATCACAGTCCTTTTCTCAGCCCCTGTCCTAGAGCTAATGATGTCTGGCCTCATGCGTCCCTGCCCCAGTCTCTCCCTCTTAGTCCTCCCTCCACAAGATACTTGGCTCTACCGCTCGGACCGGCTCATTGCCCTTCCTCCACAGCGCCCCCTGCTGCTTCCTCGTCGCTTCTAAAATAAAGAACGAATTCTTGCGCTGTGTGAAGACCTCTGGTGACCTGGATCCTAGTGGATCCTCTAAACTCAATCTTCTGGAACAGCACTAGGCCATTCCCAAGACATCCTGCTTTGCTTATACTGACCTCTGTCTAGAAATATCTTTGCCAACCACTAGCGCTATCAAATTCTCAACTTCATGTCTGCCTCAGAAGACCTTCCTTGACACCCCTTCCACCAGTAACCCCTCCATCTTCTGCAGCCCAATGCCATTTCAGACTAATCTCTATTTCATGAATACTTCATGAATACAGCGCCATGCTTGATCTGATGTTTCCAACAGACAGAAAGCCCCGTCTTAGAGGAAGAGATGCATGCTAGGAGCATACAGAGGAGAACATAAATGCCAAATGAAGGATATAGGAACACTTTATTTAAAAGTTCTTTATAAAAACGTCTGGGACTTCTTTAAAGCTCCACAAATTCATTATCATCATCACAAGGCTCTTCAGGCATCTCCTGTGTAAGATCACCAACACCATTACATCTTCACCTTGATAGAATGTGCAGGAAGAACTATGGGAAAATGTGCAAACTCACAGCATATATTCTCCAAGGAAAGCTGCAAGATAAAAATACAAAGATGCTATAGATTTACCTGCACCAAGCAAAATAAAATATCATAGAAATCCATAGTTAATGAGAAATGTGGACTAGTGTCTTTGAATTGGTTTCCATGGAAGCTATGGTTGCAAGAAGATGATCTGGATAGCTATTAAAATATTTAGGGATAGCCAGGCTCAGAGGTTCACTCCTGTGCACTCTGGGAGGCCAAGGCAGGTGGATTGCCTGAGCTCAGGAGTTCCAGACCAATCTGAGCAAAGCAAGACCCCATTTCTATTAAAAATAGAAATACTAGCCAGGTGTTGTGACAGATGCCTGTAGTCCCAGCTACTGGAGAGGCTGAGACAAGAGGATCACTTGAGCCCAAAAGTTTGAGGTTGCTGTGAGCTATGATGCCAGGGTACTCTACCCAGGGTGACACAGTGAAACTCTGTCTCAAAAAAGAAAAAAACAAATTAGAGATAGGCAAAAACTAATGGGTTTAAGGAACAGAAAAAATCATTTGGTTGTTGAATCAGGAGGCTGAAAACAAACATTACTGTTCAAAAATCTTGCATAGAATAATTCAAAGACACTTTACTGACAACGCCACCCTTACCAACAATGCTTGCTTTCACAGCTATTCCACATAAATCAGCGATTGTCAGTTCTCTCTGCAAGAATAGTTACAATGCTCAATTTGTTCCCCCCATTTAAAGACCACGTGAAGCTACTCAACATTGTTACTGGATTAAAAAGAGAAAGAGATGTTTCCTGACAAACCACTCCTGAGTAAAACTCATATTTGAATTGTGACTAACACTGGTTTAATAATCCTCCCCAAATGGTACAGGAAAAATATGTGAGTTTCATAGACCTAGGGAAATGTATGGTCTGCCAACCGCAGCTTTCCATGAAAGTGGAAAAATGACTGGCAGGAAATGATAGATTGTGAGCACTAATGAATTCTAATGAAATAATAATGACTCTAATTTTACTCCACCTTTATCCAATTTTTCCAATATTAATTGGTCCAATAGGGTGAGGTTAACTCAAAATAAATTAACCCAGAATTCATTAAAGATGTGAAACAATGACAAGGCCAAATGAAGGGAACTCCCTAAAAACTGTGTATTTAAGACCAAAGGACGTTCACGTCGGCGCTCATTTACTTCCATCTCTCACACTTAGACAAGCTCAGCGTTCTCAGGTCATCATGTCTTGGGACATGGCTGGAGTCCCCTCCTCCAGGGCTGGAGGCAGCAGCTCCATCAGGGCATCCACTGGTGGGAGCAGCTTCAATGGTAGCAGCAAATGTAGCCTGGGGGGAGGCTCTACCCGGGGCTTCCGAGGAGGAACCAGCTGCTGTGGCCTGAGTGGGGGACCTAGCGGTAGCTTTGGGGGCAACTTTGGAGGGGGCTTTGGTAGCTGCTCAGTCAGGAGTAGTTCTAGCTTTCCTGGGGGTTCTGGATTCAGTGGGATCTCTGGATTCAGTGGGGCTTCTGAATTTGGCAGCACTACTAATGATGGCTTCTATGGCTACGGTGGCAGAGTGGGAGGGGGTGTTGGCGATGGAGGCCTTTTCTCTGGAAGTGAAAAACAGACCATGCAGAACCTCAATGACCGCCTGGCCAATTACCTAGACAAGGTCAGAGCCTTGGAGGAGGCCAACGCTGATTTAGAGAACAAAATCAAGGAGTGGTATGACAAATTGGGGCTGGGTTTTAGAGATAATGAATCTAGAAGAGATTACAGCAAATACTATGCGGTAATCGAAGATCTCAGGAACCAGATGAGACACTCCGAGATGATACCTCTTTTGCACTTCTTTATGAAATATGAAATTGTTCCATGATATTTGCTCAATTGGTCCATACAAAATTTTTCAGATAACATTGTTGGTAAAAAAAAATAATAATTATAAAAAAGTTTCCATAATTTCTTTAGATTTATTTAGAATATGATTCACACTAGACATTAGTTTCTTTTTCTTTCTTTTTTTTTTTTTTTTTTTGAGACAGAGTCTCACTATGTTGCCCTTGGTAGAGTGTCATGGCGTCACAGCTCACAGCAACCTCAAACTCTTGGGCTTAAGTGATTCTCTTGCCTCAGCCTCCTGAGTAGGTGCCTGCCACAACACCCAGCTATTTTTTTTGGTTGCAGTTATCATTGCTGTTTAGCAGGCCCAGGCCAGGGTCTCTCGGTGTATGTGGCTGGCACCCTACTCACTGAGCTACGGGAGCCAAACCTAGACATTAGTTTCTAAAAAATTTTTATGCAACTAGATTTTGACCATTAAATGCAAATGAGTAATTATATGTTATTTGTTCACACGTTAGGTTTTTTTTTGCATCTTTGTATCTCTTAGATCATTGCAGCCACTGTTGATAATGCCAGCCTGACTTCCCCAATTGACAGTGCCAGACTTACAGCAGAAGACTTCAAAATGAAGTGCATTTGCCTCAAATATCATTCACCTCCTTGGTGCAAAATAAGATTTTTTTTTACTTTTCACATAAAATGTATAGAAAGGAATTAAACCAGGCAATTAGATCCAGGATCAGACAAATGTAATGTAAAATATCTACACTAAGAAAAAAAGCCAACCAGTTTTAATGTATGTTTTCTTATAAGAGATTCCAAAATCAGCGTTCTTTTTAAGGATTCGAGGGTCTTTGTTTAAATATTTCAAAAGAATTTCAGCCTGTGCTAGATGGCAGTGGGCAAATCCTTTTTAAAATAAAGCTTCTTTGAAGTAATGGATCTAATTCATACATCATATTCCAAACACCTCTTAAGGTACCAAAACGAGCTCTGCCTACGCCAGTTACTTGAAGCTGATTTAAGTGGCCTGCAAAAAGTTCACAATGAGCTGAATGTGACGACCTCGATCCTTAAAATACAGTCTGAAAGCCTAGCTGAAGAGCTGGCTCATCTCAAGAAGGACCATGAGGAGGTAGGCTGTTCAACAAGGTTCATCATTCACTAACCTCAAAGGACTTTTGCCACAGCGACTTCTGTGTTTCCTCTCTGCCAGGAAATGAGCGCTTTGCAGACACAGTCCTGCGGGGACTTGACCGTGGAAGTGAAGGTGGCCCCTGGGGCAGATCTAACGCAGCTGCTGAACAGCATGCGGCAGCAGTACGAGGCGTTGGCCCAGCAAAACCGCAGGGAGGCCGAGGATCGATTCAACAAGCAGGTGGCTCACGGCTGGCAAAGTGCAGAGAGCCCAAATCGCCAGACCGGGTGGGTTGGCGCGTGTGAGATTTCACCGTACCTTGTTGATTTCGTTCTTGCAGAGCGCTTTGCTGCAGACACAGATCTCCACCAACGCTGGAGCAGCTAGCTCTGCCACGGGTGAGATCACGGAGCTGAAACGAATCCTCCAGACCCTCCAGGTTGAACTGCAGTCTGTCTCGGCCATGGTAGGTGGGAAAGGGATGCATCTGATTTACTTCCAAAGCTTTAAAACACAAAGCTGGGCTCCGCGCCGTAGCCCAGTGCTTAGGGCACCGGCCACATATGCCGGGGCTGGTAGGTTTGAACCTGGCCTAGGGCTGATGAACAACAATGACAACTGCAACAAAAAAATAGCCAGGCATTGTGGGGGGGCATCTGTAGTCCCAGCTACTTGGGAGGCTAAGGCAAGAGAATCGCTTAAACCCAGGAGTTTGAAGTTGCTATGAGCTGTGACCCAATAGCACTCTACCGAGGGCAACATAGTGAGACTCTATCTCAAAAAATAAATAAATAAATAAAACATTGTTTTGCATACACTGTTTTCAAGCACGTTGGCAAAATGCTAGTCTCTATAAGATGGGAATAATAGGACCTGTCTCATTAGGTGGTTACGGGAATTAAATGAGTCCATATGTATAAAACCTTTTCTTTCAAAAGATGCATCATTATCTGATTTTTTGTTGTTGTTATTTCAAACTATTAAGGGGGTTACAAATGCTCTTGCTACACGTGTTGAGTCAGGGTTATAAATGTGCCTATAACCCAAATAGAGTTCATTGCACCCTTGAGGTGTACCGTCCCCTCATCCCCCCTTCTCCCTGTTTGATTTCCAATGACTTTAACCTCCCTCTGTGCCCTCGTGTGCCCATCACTTAATTCCAGTTTCTCAGAGATCACACATGGAGTTTGCTTTTCCACTCTTGAGATACTTCGCTTCAGATAATGCTCTCCAATCCCTTCAAAATTGCTGCAAAAGGCATTCATTCATCTTTTCTTATGGCTGAATAGTACTCCATGGTATACATATGCCACATTTTGTTAATCCACTCATGAACTGATGGGCTATATAAAACACTTTGAACAGAGCTCACAGTAGTACTCTGATTAATACTGATTATTGCTTATTCGTTATCAAAGGTAATTATTATTATTAAGTGGTTCATGTGAAGACCACCCTCGTCACAGGAATGTATATTTCAGTATTTATATCCTGAACACCGCGCAGTTTCATTCTCACAATGTTTGCGCGTCAATTTGCATGTGCATTTGTAGCAATGCTCCCTGGAAGGGACCCTGGCAGACACAGAGGCCGGCTACGTGGCTCAGCTGTCGGGGATCCAGACGAAGATCAGCAGTCTGGAGGAGCTAATCTGCCAGGTCCGGGATGAGACCCAGTGCCAGAACTCGGAGTCCGAGCAGCTTCTGGACATCAAGACGCACCTGGAGAAGGAGATCGAGACCTACCACCACCTGCTCGATGGAGAAGGAGGGTGAGCCACCAATAGCTTGATTTTGAACATTTTCTAGAAAATGAAGAAATTGTTGAATCAGCAACTGAAATTTAAAGTTTCAGCAAATTTCGAATAAAGTTTCCTTGAAAGAAATATGTTCCATTTAGAAAGAAAATATCTCTGCTCCTTTACGATGCTTTGGCCAAAGAGAAGTAAGTGAGGATAATCATTTCTTTCACTTTCTATCTCTCATTAGTTCTGGGGGCAAAGGAACTGAATCTAAAGGATCATTCTCTGCGGACTCCAGAGGACGAATTAGCACAACACAACTCAACCAAGGGGTAGAGTTGCTTTTTTAAAATAACATTTTTTGCTTACTTAATATCCATCATTAATAAAGTGTACATTTCTTAACCCCCAAAATGCAGGCTACAGCAATTCACTTTAGAGCATGACTTCTGGGGAGGCCAAAGAGGGAGGATCACTTGAGCTCGGAAGTTCAAGACCACCTATTTAGACCCTGTCTCTCTAAAAATAGAAAAAAGTATTTTTTCACCAAGCCAGGCATGGTCATACTTGGCTGTAGTCTCAGCTACTTGGGAGGCTGAGGTGGAAGATCTCTTGAACTCAGGAGTTTGAGGTTGCTGTGACCCCAGCTGACACTTGAGCACTATAGCCTGGGGCAACAAAATAAGACACTATCTCAAAAACAAAAAGCATGACTTGCGAACCAAACTTTATACTTCCAGTGCTAATATTCTATTTCCTTCTTTAGATTCAAATAAAAGCAGAGGAACTAGGACAGTGACAGACAACCGCCAAGAGATTTCAACTCAAGTCAACAATGTCTCTGATATAAAATTCAAATAACGCTAAGAGGCAGGCACTTGTGTTCTATTCCCAAGAAGTAAATGATGAATCCTAAAAAATGCATAGAACAATTCAATAACCCTGAGGAGCCAGAGCTTCAACTGTCCCAATAGTTTCTGATCTTCTTGTATCTTAATTGGTTTGGTTTTGTCTTTGAAATGCAAAACGTCTTTTCTTCCTTAATGATTCTGTGGCAATAAAGTTTTCACCTGTTGCAAATCAACTCCATCCATCTTGGTAATTTAGCTCCACACTGACTTATTTTAGAACAGCTTTAGGAGATAGAATTCCCATCAATCATTTCACCCGTTTAAAGCGTACAAGTCAATGGTCTGTAGTATAGTCACTGAGTTACACAATCATCACCACAATCAATTTTAGAGCATTTGCACTACCTCAAAAAGAAATCACATATCCACTAGCAGTCACTTCCCATTTCCCCCTTCCCCACCCCCACCCCTGACAAACTCCAGCCCCAGCCTAGGCAACCAGTAACCTATATTCTGGCCTATGTATTTCCCTATTCTAGACTTTTCACGTAAATGCAATCATATGATATGTGGTCTTCTTCACTCAGCATGACGTTTTCAACGTTGCTCCACATTGCAGCAAGCAGCAGCCTTAATTCCTTTTATTGCTGAATAATATTCTAGCAAATGGATGGACCACATTTTCTTTATCCATTCATTGGATGAGGAATGTTTGGGTTGTGTATATCTTTTTGCTATTACAAATAATGCTGCTATGAACATCCATGTACAAGTTTTTGTGTAGACATACGTTTTTATTTCTGCTGGGTACAGACCAGAATTGGAGTAGAATTGTTGAGTCACATGTTAGCCCTGGGTTTAACATTTGAGGCACTGTCAGACTATTTTCCATAGCAGCTGCTCCATTGTACATTTCTATGAGTGGTGTTTGAGGGTTCCAATGTCTTCAAATCCTCACCAACTCTCATTCTTCATTTTCTTATTATAGCAATCTTAGTGACTATTAAAGTGGTACCTCATTGTAGTTTCACACTGACTTTTGACTCTATTATTTTATATAACCCAAAATCATCCCCCCCAAAAAAAATTATGAAATATTTGATAGGGCTTCAGTTTTTCAACTTTCTTATGGTGTCAAAAATACATACATGGTAGTTAAGATGGCACCTGCTTGTTAGAAACCTACATTCCACCTGTAAAGACAGCACTATTACAAATGAAAATAAAGACACTAGGTGTTTTTAAAAGGGGGAAATTGTAAGAAATGGCTTGAGTTTCCAGATATCAAAACATCAGTGTAGTGTGTACTCCCCAGGGCTGATGCACCCAACCCAATTGCTGGGAGTAGGAGCTGCACACAGCCCAAAACTGTGCCCTCACTGGGCATTGCCCCCAGCAGCAGGAAGCTGACTTGCCAAAGATTATGCCTCCTCCAGGAGAAGGCCCATGAGCCAGTAACTGACTGATGAGGGACAGCAGGGCCCAGCCCCCACTACCTCAACCCAGGACAACTCCAGAGCTCCCCAAAGGATCTGCAGAAGCCTCCTTTCAAACAGCATTGCAGTTGGCCTCTGCCTACTCCCATTCCTGCCACCCCCACCAGCTTACAGGTTTATCTCCCAAGAGGACTCCTTGCTAAACCTCTGGGCACATCTCTCCATGTCAGAGTCTGTTTCCAGGAAACAAGATTTCAGAAAATATAGTAGCACCCCCATAGTTGACCACCTCCCTACATTGACCACCTCCTTAAGTTGACCTAATTTTCACAGACCAGACAAGGCACCACATATATGTATCAGTACAGTAGGCCAGTACAGTATGTCGACAACCTCCATATGTTGATCAATTTGTTACAGTCCCTTGGGTAGGTTGTGAGTTGTTACAGAGTTCTACTGTAATATTAAGTTACAACAATTAGAACAATGTACCACCAACAAAGGAATCAACACCCCAGAAAATGACCTAACTACACATAAGAATGGCATTTTCAAACCAGTTGTGGAAAAACAGGTAATTCAACAAAGGCTACTGGAATAATTAGTTAACTTTGGGGTGAGATGAAGTAGGGGTGGGGGTGAGTACAATGTTACATAGTTTATCTATCACACCAAAATAAGTTTCACATAAATTATAGAAATAAAAGAAAGTAAACTTCTAAAGACTCCAAATTTTTTCTTTATTGTTTGGGATTCATTGAATAATTAGGTTATACTGATGGCATTTGTTAGATAAAGTCCCTCTTATACTTGTGTCCCACCCCCAAGAGGGGTGCCGTACACTGTGACCCCCACCCACTTCCTCCTTCCCTCTCCCTCCTACACCACCCTTTGTAATAGCCTCAAATTTTAAAAGAATAATATTCATGTTTGTGGAATGGTGAAGGAAGTCTTTTTTATCAAAAAAAAACTATTAAGGGAAAGATAGATTTATATAGAGAAAATAATGTGCAACAAGAAACAAAAATAAGAGAAAAAATTTTAAACTTTAATGAAATATAATAAAAATCCAACCTAACACCAAGGGGAATCCGCGCAGCCAGCCAGACCACAGACGCCAACCTGAACTGCACAGCTTAGCTTTTTGTCCTGTGTGCAGTTTGGCGCCACCTGCTGTCAGCTGTTGTATCTGTCTAAAATCAGAAGAGGATTCTGGGCCAGGGATGAGTAGCCTGTTCAGTGGGGCGGACTTATTCTCAGACTCCTTATTCCACTTCCTCTTTCTTAATAACCCCCACCCACCTATCCACCCGCCATATCTCCCTTCCCACCCCAGAAGTTAAGAACTTTAGTCCACCTTCTTGGGGGCTGGATGCAGAATGGAAGCCAACAGCCAATCACTCTTCGTCTAAATGTTCAGCAATGCCGCATGATACCAGAAGTTTTCACTGTACTCATCATGTACGGCCATCCAAGGGCTGATGTTCCCTACAAAAAGTCATGAACAAGTAAGAGAGAAGCATGTCAGTAAGAAATGGATACATGATGCACATAAGCAATTCATAAAATACGAATGGCAATAAACATAAAAAGTTCCTGATGCCCAGCATCTTGAGTAAAGCAAAGAAAGGGAAATTAAAACGGCGAGTTGCCGTTCCAGCATGGAAACAGGTCCAATGTGTTTAATAATAAAGATCCATTTTAGCAAGTGTGTAGGGAAAAGGCATTAATCCCTTCCTGCGTGAAGTCTAGACTAACAAATCCTTCAACAGCACAATTCAGTAACAGATACAAAAGCCTTTAAGAAAAGAGCATGTCCTTAGAGCCAGCAGTTCCATTTCTAGGAATTTATCCTTACATAATCATTTATTAATATATGTATATTCCTCTCGGCTGTTTATTATAGTGAAACAGCCACCATAAAATCCAACCATGAAGAATCGATATGCTAGGTTATGAAACACCCAACAAAGTCCATCAAAGAACTGCAATACAGCCATTAAGAATGTACATGTATTGACCTAAAAGGATGTCAATCTACTATTAAAAAACGAAAAGTAGAGTTTCAAGGCAATATATACAGGAGGATTTTTAAGAAAAATAATTGTATACATATTACATGCATGTTTGTTTGGGTGTGCTAGGATTCAATTTGATTCTGACACTAACTACCTGGAGTTAGATCAGACTCCACAAGTTTCAGGGTCAGTCTCTTCTGTCCCTGCTGCAGATGCTAGCCACAAGTGTCAGGTCCCAGGTTACCCACACTGCTGTCTGATGTGGCTGCCAAGGTGGGGGTTCCCACAAGCTTCACCCCCTTCAGATTTGATCATTTCTTAGAATGACTCACAGAATCCAGGAAAACACTAAACTCCCTATAACCAGTCACTCAGGAACAGTCAAGTGGAAGAGACAGGCAAGATCTGGGGGCAGGAATGGAGCCTTCAAGACCTCTCTAGATACGCCATACTCCCATCACTTCTACGTGTTCCTGGAAGCTCTCTGACCCCCACCATTTAGGGGTTATGGGGATTTCATTACATAGGCATGATTCTGGCCACTGGCGATTAACTCAATGTCCAGCCCATCTCCCCTTCCCAGAGGTTGGGGGATAGGACAGAAAGTTCCAAGCTTCTCATCAAGGTTTGGTCTTTTCAGAGACCAGTCCCCATCTTGAAATTATCTAGGGTCCCCCAGCTGCCAGTCATCTCATAAGCATCCAAAAGACACTCTTATCACAAATGTCATTTCTCAATATATATATTAATGCTATAGTTACTTAGGGGAATGTAGAGACTGTATCAATTTACAAATTAAGTGTTTTCTGGTTGTCTTTTTATTATTCAGTTCTAAAAATAACTCAGATGAAGAATATTAACTTCAAAGAATTTCTAGGTAAGCGTCCTCTTCCTCAGTTGGTTATCTTTACCAGGCCTTTCCTCGAGGTGGACATGCAGAGGCCAGTAAGAACAATATCTAAGCACAATTTCCACTGAACTCTCTACCCAATTCTCAAGTATAGGTGCTGAACTTTTGCTGCTAAAGCACTAGTAAAGAAAATCCCTCCTACTACCAGGTGTCACCTGTGGCTCAGTGGGGAGGGTTCTGGCCACATATACCGAGAGTGGCAGATTTGAACCCAGCCCCGGCCAAACTGCAACAAAAAATAGCTGGGCATTGTGGCAGGTGCCTGTAGTCCCAGCTATTCAGGAAGCTAAGGCAAGAGAATCGCCTAAGCCCAGGAGTTGGAGGTTGCTGTGAGCTGTGACACCACAGCATTCTACAGAGGGCGATAAAGTGAGACTCTGTCTTTGAAAAAGAAAATCTCTCCTACTTGTGTAATATTAAACACTTCCTAAATCTGAAAAGTAATGCTTTTTTTTTTTTTGTGATACAGAGTCTCACTTTGTTGCCCTCAGTAGAGTACCATGGCGTCACAGCTCACAGCAACTTCCAGCTCTTGGGCTTAGGCAATTCTCTTGCCTCAGCGTCCTGAGTAGCTGGGACTACAGGCTCCTGCCACAACACCCAGCTATTTTTTGTTGCAGTTTGGCTGAGGCCAGGTTCAAACCCA